ATCATTAGTCAACACTGTTAAAGAAAATAGTACTTTTTTTTGGTTTTAGTAAATCAACCTGGGGGAAGCTCAGAGCATTTTCAGATACCAAATCGCCCGCTGCTGTTGCGCAAGGTTACGCAATGAACGCACGTTGCTGAGATCGTACGGTAGTGGCATGTGACGCAGTGACGCGCGTTCGTTTACATTGACACCCACACACGATTCACCGGTCATTTTAATGAATATTGTTAAAGCAGTTAACCCACCTGTCGAACCAATAAATTATCGTGGTTCACGGTCATTATTCGATTTAAGAATCTGTTCTTTTTTTAACGATCCTGCGATTGGTAGCGCATCTTGTGAACCAGCTGCGCGCAACGTATGCAATTTTACGAATATTGATTCAAACGCACTGGATCCTATGCACTTATTGTGATCGTCATCAATCAATCAATGTCCTGTTACTGCGTTGCGAATATCAATTATTTAATGAATTAATTCGGACTCTTACGCTCACTGTAAATGCATAAAAGAATGTTAAGGAGAGTATTGTATGTACAATTTATGCAAATGATGACAGTTATTTGGTAGAATAAATTCTCCCCCCTGTTCTTCAAAGGTTTCCCCTCTGTGTTCTCTCGTTTCTTCCCACAAGTGTAAACAAACAAACAAAATCATGACATACAATGCAACTGGTATTGGGGCCAAACGCCGACCAATTACTCACTTTGCGATTACGTGTAGCAACATCACCCCATAATGAGAAAACTTTGCAAGATCCTCCTGCAAAAAAAAAAACGACGCTCTCCTGGGCAAACAAGTGCCGTAGGAATAATAATAATACCAACACAGTCGTAGAGAGTTGCAAGTGCCTGAAGATCGAGTCTCAGGCTGCACTGACAGAAAACATGAAGAAAAACACAAAACAAGGAGGCGGGGGTGGGGGGGGTGTGAGTGAACAAAACGAAAAGGTCGCCGAGGCTGGTTGAGCGGCTGAGAATCAAGCAGCTGTAAATGTACACACCGACAGAGAGTGTTGCAAGGCATTGTGGGTTTTCTCATGATGCTTATGGGCTTACATTGAGACATCTCGGCTTCAGTGTGTGCATTAACTGATATAAAAAAGTACGCAAGGTACACAACGGGATCCCACTGCACAACTCGGCACGACGAGCGCCTCTTCGACGCGTTCTTATCGCACAGTTGCACTTAACGCGGCCCCTCCACCGCTAATAATGTGCATTGAGAAGGTGCCGTTGCCTTCCCGCGAAACGGTACAACTTACGCGTGTACACGTAAAACGCTAATAAGAGCTGGTAAATCGCACAGCGCTCCTTCGCTATAACGAGGCTCGTTAAAGCGTGGCGTCGGGCTACGATGGGCGAGAGTGTGTTACGAGTCCGCGTGCGCGTGCGTTTACTCACACGCGATCGAAGCACCGATCAGGGAGCGCGGTGACATTGTGGTTAGCACGGTATGGCTCCGCTCTCCGCTCGCCCACCTTGTACTTCCAACACAATGCGATCGTGCAATAACATTTACATTTAAATGGCACCCAAATGCAAACCACATCTCCAGAAATTTCGCGTGGGGGAAAAGTTGAAAACAAATGAGTTTTCAGGCTTTGGTGTGGGCCTCCGTCACGTTAATATAGCTTCAAATGAGCAACCGGTGTGCTTGTCAATATAAGGAATGGGGGGAGACAAAGGTGGCCGGGTGTGAATGGTGGTGCAGGACACATTACTCCCTCGTGCGTTGCGCAGGTCAGATCTGGTGCTCGATATTAGTCACTGCTCCCTTTAGTACATCTTTTGTCTTTGTTTTCAAAGCGTGTATCGGTAGCATTGTGGTAAACACACTGCGCCACAAATCAAGAGAGCCAGGGCTCTATTCCGTCTCCCAAATTGCATCGGTGATTAATTTCTTCTTAAATAACCAGAGTAGTAGCAGACCAAGCGTCAACGGAGTCTTAAAACATTTTCAGGAGGTCTGTTTGGGATGTTTGGTCAATTATTTAGATTTAACGTTTATTGCATGCGGAAGAAAATAAGGTTATCGGAAGATAAAGCCACGCACACAAGGGGACAGCACTCAAAACTCCACAACAGAGGATGTTGAGTAAGTTTCCCGTAAATATAAACGTGTCATTAAACCCGCCATCACCCGACACAGCCAATCAGTAAGGTTTGTCACGTAGACAAAACGTGCCAATTAGTTACTAGTTCAGCACACCGGTGTGTTGGAGAGTAAACCCACAACATTTGAGTACGATGTTTTGCTGGTAATAACAAGCAGCCTCAGCAGGCGACATCCAGAATTGTGGAGAAATCCTCCCGTCGCGAAAGCGTATCTGTTAAACTCAAAACTCCACAAGGCAGGTCAGACACGCTCTGTATTGTTCCCGCACACGGATGTCCCACGAGTATGATGTCATCTGCAAGAGACACCAACCTTACCTTCAAAGAATAATCGTTAGCATCGTTTCAGATGATATAAGTCACAACGTAAATCAGCAGACAAAGACACCCCCTTCATTTATCTGTAACTTCAATAAAAAAAAATACTTGCGAGTGTATAAATTCGGCAGCTTTGATTCAACGCAAGCAAACAGGGCACCGGTTTCAACACACATCGTCTCATTAGCAGTGTCAGGCTTGCTTGAAGCGATGACGGTGAACTGCCAGATGCTATCGGCAAAGACCCTCCTGTTTAAGTTACGGATTCCTCATGTGCCACCTACACATCAAGCAAACCTGGCCTGGTGATCTTGTAGGCCAAGTCAGGCCAGGTCACCCTATGACGCGTGCTTAGCGCAGTGCGTCCATATCACAACTGGGCCATTGCAGTGCTAGCACCGGCTCCATCCTCTTGCGTCCCAGCGAACTCACTCAAGGGACGTTTTTGGCTCCTTATGCAAAAGCATTGATTTGCAGTGAAGCCATGAGGCAAATCACGTAGTAATATTATTATTACTACTACAAAGAACCATTATTGTAAACATGGTTATAATCTGTCTATTTAGTCTACATTTATATTTCGGGAAAAAAATTGGCAAATTGGAGGGCTTTAGCGATCAACACCATTTCGCTGAAGAGATAATAATAAAAATTTCCCCACTTTACCATTAGTGGTCACAACAAAGGGGACTGGTTCCAGAGTGTTGTAAATACAGTTAATGAGGGGGGGGGGGGGCCTTTGACAACACCGCCACTTTACAAGACTACTTACTCCCAGCCCATCAGGCTTTAAAAAGTCCAAGCGCACCACTTCCCCTAACCCAAGCTTTTTGAAACCTTGACAAACCGCGCTAATTGCGAGCCCACCACCGGCGCACGCGCCAACGCCAACGGGCCAGCGTTTGGCGTTGCGTCGTGCAATTAATGTGCAGGTTTTCCCCACCAGCCCCTACCCCTCCAACCCACAACCCCACCAAACCCCTCCCCCACCACCACCACCCCCGCCCTATAGAATCGCCGGCTCGCGGACGATAATTCTTCGCAACGAACGGGTGGCGCATCCCAACGCGCGCGTTTTCGCGCCGTGTGTCCACTGACGGAGCGAGCGTTTCTCGCTACGATCGATGCGCCCCGGGTAAACTGCCGCACGCGCGACACGTGGCGGCCGTGCACGACGAGCATCATCACGTCGCTCCCGATTCCGAAAAGACGTACGCCAATGCGGGCAATTTCTTTTGTTGTTATCGGTGCACTGCTTTCCCGGATGAGCGTCTCCCCGCGCAGCGCGGGCTACTCGACCATACTTGGCCACGCCGGGGCAGTGCGGGTTGGCGAAGGCGGGGGAAGCATAAATGTGGGAGCGGAATAGAATGCAGCGATGGATTTTAATGAATACTACTTCCACGAGCGTATCCAAATAACTTTGCGCTGCACGACTAGCGTGCCGGCACCGTGATGTGAGGTGTGCTTGGATTCTTCGTGCATCATTAAATGGAACAACTGAATTCTATGCTGCTGAGATCAATAACCATCCCCCACACGGTGATATTCAACAGGACGAGGAACAATCACCAAAGAGCCCACGCGTCAGAAGTAACTCCACGGACTTCCCTCCCCTCCAGTGAGCTGGAAGAGTCTGTCAAATCTCCGTGTCGCGGAGGCATCAATTATATTATTGCGCATTTTTGCATCAGGTTGTGTCTTGAGTTCACCGTGACATACGGATTATCAATGTGGACAGTGCCATGGAAAATGGAACAAGGGGCTGAAACGAAATTCGCAGAAGCGACGGGAGAACTGCTCGGAATTACGTGGGGCATAAATGTGACCACAGGGACCAGGGAATATGTGTGAGACTCGCAGAAACTCGTGGGTGGAGGTTGGGGTGGGGGGGCATGGGGGGGGGGCAATGCCCCCCCCCCCACCCCGCCACCAAACTGGACACCTTTATGAATTTATTTTCAGGAGTCTACAATTAAGATGAAAAATAAGTAAAAAAAATATATGCACTCGCGATTCCTAATGTGAGGGACAAAGTGAACCCCCTTTCCCCCAAAATATAGAGGTTCAAACTCCACCGCCTATGAAGAAACCATATCGACTCATGAAGAGTGGGATTGTAGCAGGGCACGTGTCGGTGCTACCCAGCTGATCTGGACATCTGTGAAAAAGAGCTCTATAGCTCATCGGATTCCTCCGGTATGAATAAATATTCTGATTATGATTCTATATCTCTGGAAAGGGGTGATGGCGAAGGGCAAGACTGCTGATGGAGAAAAGGGTGCCCGAGAGGATGACCAACATGGAGACGGTGCGCTGAGGTCCATTCATGGTACAGTTTTGAGATGGATTGTGCCATCCCAGGACCTACAGGGATGGTGACAGCATGCAGAGGACTCCATCCAGTAGTCTATAGACAATGGCTGCTGATGATGCACTCTACCGCATCGTGAAATACGACGTACAACGTAAGAGACGTCATGACATTATTTGTCTTCGCCGTCACGGACACATTCACCCTTGGCGATGAACGGCACGGACTGGGGCAAGGCGGCTCCTCACCTTGCCATCGGCGTAGTTGAAGGGCGCAGACAGGACGTACTCCAGCCGGAAGACGACGGCAAAACCCGGAGTGTTCACCATCTCCGGCAGCCTGACCTGGCTGCGCAGCGTCAAGCCGGACGCGCCTGCGATCCTGCGCGCACACACACGCCCACGTTCGTGTTACCCAGCCGTTCCGTCTCAGCGAAAACCACCGTGGCGTCACAATCTATTGAAGAGTCATTAAAGCATTTAGTGTTTGCGGGAGGGATAGATGCGTCCCACGGCGCAATGGTTAGCATGCCTGACTTGCAATCAAGGAGGCTTCCAGTTCGGTTTGATCTCATGGCTCTGGCAGTTGAAACAATGGTGCAAACGTTTATTAAGTGCCCCCCAACCGCCTCTGCCCACCCAGAAATATTAAACTATTTAATTCTAAACTATTTTTTTTTATTTTACCAGGTAATGCCCACTGAGCTATATAGCACTTTTTCAGAAGCGACCTGGCCACAAATGATAGCCCAACGAAGTGGCTTATCACGTGGAAATGTATACTCTAAAAGCCTGTTGATTCTAAATGTGGATGGAAAAACCGGAGGAACAGGATAAAGATCCAAATGACCACAGGAAGAACATGCAAACTACTCCAATAATACAGGCGTCAGGGTCGGGATCGAATCCACGTCCTCCTGAATACCGGGCGAGGGAGGTAACATCTCGCTGCCGTGGCGCCCCTATAACAAATGGGTCCAGCAAAGTTAGTCTGTGATCGGTAGGTGACGTGTGGTGGGGTAAATCGTCGGTTCTCCCACCTCTTTCAAGATGCATGTCCAGTGTGGAAAGAGAAGAGACCACCTACCCTCCAGAGAAGCTCTCTGGCTCAGGGTTTGGAACAGCTATATACTTAATATATTTTTCTAAGATTTTTTTTTATATATATATAAAGTATATACTCTAGACTTTTAATGAAAGAGTATTTTATTTTTATTTCACGTAGAAGGAAACCGGGGTTAATCGCACATACGGGAAAAAAAAAAACTAAATCAAAATAATTTCGCTGCCCTGATGAATAATCTACCAACCCTACCCTATCTAAAGTATTGGTGGACATTATGTGCAACCTGTGTTTGAGACACAGGGAGGAGACCTGTGGTATATCAATCCCTGTGGCTGTTTTCAGCCAAGTGGTGCTGCACCTTCTGCTGTGTTCTAATCAAGGGATGGCATTTATCTTTGTATCTTTCACCAGTGGCTAAATACAACAGCGTCTTTCGAATTCCACACGAAAAGTTCACAAAGCTACGCCTCTGTACTTCCACCGACACACTTCAGCTCGCCGCACTGGAAGGAATGCAGCTCATGATTCTCATTCATGCATGATCCACCAATTAAGCGTTCGATCGTCTCTCTCTATTGCGGGAGTAATCCACCAAGTCGATTACTTGGGACCCTTTAGGAATGCCAGCAACCCTACATCATCCCTCTCGAAGGCAGGAAGCCCCGACATGAGCAACGCCCAGCGAGATGCGGCTGATGATGCTGGCGATGGCGTCACCGAGCCCTCGGCCAATCTCTTACCGGGCAGCGGCACACATGGGTGCAGAGGTGAGACTGAGGCTTGTCGAGGCCCGTCTTACCCAGCAAAGCCTCACCGAGTCTCGTGAAACTTTTTGCAGGAGGATCCCGTAAAATTTTTCGCAGTAGGGGGCAATGTTGCTGTTGTATGTAATCCCAAATGAGCAACATGCGAATAATTGTTCAGTACCGAGATATTTTGGCCAATGCCAGTTACACTAAATATAACAACAGGTTTTGCCCTCTCTGGCAATAAAACAGTTGTGTTAAGATGTTAAAACACCAAACAGAATCCTTTTTCAAGGAATTCTGTCCGAATTAACCACGTATATTTGTGGTGAACATGCAAACAAAAAACACGCTCTGATAAGAAATGCATTGTCTTTGAAACTGATTGGTCCACACCAGAGACAGCTTTCTTTAGAGCCTAGTCTCAAACAGTGTTAGACCAGAGGACGCCAAAAGGTGAACAGCACAAAGACAATGCCACTATCAGGGCATTCATAGCTCGGGTTTAGCAGCTGCAATATGGGACCTTTAATGCCCATTACACTGTGTGTGTTTTTAAGCTATGGAAGGAAACCAGAGAACCCGGAAGAAATATTGCAGAACAGGAGGAGAACATACAAGCTCTACATAGAGAGGTACCCGAGGCCAGAATCAAACCCAGGGTCTCCTTGCTCTGAGGCACTGCGCACAACCCTGCCGCCTTTCATTCCAACCGTTCTCTCGAGTGAACTGATTTTTAGTCGAGCGATTGAACTGCTAATCATGAGAGTAATCAGCTGCTTTAATAATCGAACAGCCCACCTCCACAGGAGTGCATTGCCGCTGCACCAGATCGGCTTGCCGTGGCTCACCGTGCCAACCCTCGCTCAGACAACTTAGCCTCCCCGTGCGGGTGGAATTGCGTAGAGGGCGCAGGGTTTGGCATCGTCCCAGGGACAATCAAGAGTTGCCATTTGGAGAACAGCAGGGAACAAATATGAATCTTTTAAAAAAAAAAACACTCAAATGCCTTTTTTACAAAGGGCTCCTTTTTTTTTGCACAGGTGCATCCGGTGAAGTAGATCGTAACCGGTAACGCTGCACAATAAAGGCATTCCAAACATGTGGGTGTCCTCATTACGCAGCTGGTAACACAGTGGCAATCGTAGCACGATGTACGAATATCCGTGGCAGCGGGGGGGAGGGGGTGGTGGGGATGAGAGCACATAACTCAATCTATGTTATCACGAACGAGGACTTGTATTATGAGCTTGCCTGTGCAATCGTTATCACCGGCGAAATGTCCACCCGCATCGTCTACATCCGCCATCTATGGACGATGGCCTCCCCACATCCTCTCCATCGCTCGCCGACCTGCGATGCCACAACCCATTTTGCTTCGGCACATGGCCTGATCGTTGCTTTTTATTAACAGTTTGAATGGTGACCAATTGCCTGCGTATGCTCTCTAATCCCTACCATCTTCCTCTACGTTGTCTCCTGGCCTCTGGCTAGATTATGTGTGAAAAGTTAAGTCGAGCAACGAATTTTGACAGCCACATAATCCACGTGTTCCTCTGACTCTCGATGTAATTCCCAGCGTGCATCACCCCCATTGCTTTTGTGCGCACTTTTCAGTTATCGTTCCTTTTTTTTTTACTTTTTACGAATGATCGTTAATCGAAAAATGCCGCGACCTACGTATCGAAATTACCACGTTATAACCTTACCATTATATAATACTTATCATTATTATTGTGCCGTGAAGATTGTGTGTGCCGGCCTCAACAGACCCCCCCCCCCCCAATCGATGCATGTATCTATGCTAAACTTCTTTCGCACCGTAGGCTGCTTGGACCAATGATGGTGAACTGACAAATGTTATTGACGAAGACCCTCGCTTTAGCTTATGGGTCCTAGTATGCCACCTACGTATTAAGTAAACCTGGCCTCGTTATCTTGTCGGTCAACTTGGGCTGGCCTGGTAAATTCACAAAGTCATCCAATGACGAGTGCTTAGCGCAGTGCGCCAACATAAGAACTGGGCGACTGTGGCGCTGGCACCGGTTTATCCTCTTGTGTGGCTGCTGCAATCGATAGGTACAAGGCCGCGATGATCGGAGGCGCGACGCCGTCTACGATACGCAGCCCACGGTGACCTGCCGCTGTACCCGCGCGCAAACCTTGTGTAGCGATACGGCCGTGGATATTTTTGGGATTCTCCGGCTCGAAGTCCTGGAACCGGTTCCGAGCGGTTGTTCGCGATCAATCCCTGAGGCTGAGGCGGTTTTGCAACAGACTTAAAACTGCATATTACAAATAGCTTACTACGTGCGATCAGTATGCATTCGTGATGGACTTAGAATCATGAGGGAGAGCACGCGAACAAATGTTCAGGCTTACTAAGAGACTTCATTGGCTGAAACGTCGCCTATTATATACTTCTTATTTTAAGGCCACGGTGTTGTTGCCTAATGTGTTGATTTTTTTTTATCATTATGATCTTTCAAAATCCAGTTGGGTGCCACCGGCACAACGCTAAACAGACAATGCGAACAGTGTGAATTAAAATACCAGTCAGGGATTAGCTCGGACATTTACCTCTCTGGTCTAGATAAATAAATACTACACTGTGGGGCATGCTGAACCGACTTCTGACTGGGATTTGTGGGTTTTTCACCACTGGCTCCTCAGGACCACCGATATAAATGAAGACCACCCAACACTCAGTTGAGTCGATTGACTCACTCTGAGGCTTTAATTATCTTAAAAGGTTGGATATTATGGCGAAAAATGATTGAATCCATTTATCTCGGGAAACCGCACGAATAGCAAGATCTTTCACACTTGTCAAACGCTGGCACTCAACTCACAACCCACCGCACACTGCCAAGACCACTTGGCTTCCAAGGCGAGTTGGGTGGGAGCATTGGAAAGAATAAAATCTGGCAGCTTTGTGGGGTCAGGTAGCAATAAAAGCATGCATAAAATATAATGAATTGCATTTAAATCCATCAGCCCCTTTGGAAAATGTTCTTAAACCTACACAACTTTCCTGTTAGATCCCTCAATAATGCATGGGTGGGCTGATCCTGCCAATGGAATCACGATAACCACTGACATGGGTTAGTTATACCGCAACCATGCTGATGAGCCTCAGTGATGTTGAAACCAGTCGAAGGTTGCCAATAATATTCAGCTACATAGTGGTGTTTACATCATGGGACCTCCTTTGCCAGCACCAAAATAAGAGAATAGGTTTTCCCCTTTTTTCCTGGCAACAAAACAGGTGTTAAGATATGAAAACACCAAACTGAAACCTTTTACAAGGAATCATGTCTGCATTAACCACAATACTTGTGGTCAGAATGCAAACAAAAAAACGTACTCTGATAATATATTGGCATTGTCTTTGAAACTGATTGGTCCACCCCAGAGACAGCTTTCTTTTGAGCCTCGTCTCAAAACGGTGTTAGACCAGAGGACGCCAAAAGGCGTGCAGCACAAAGACAATAATTATCAGAGTAATGAGGGCTCGGGGTGAGCATCTACATCATGGGACCCTCTTTGCCAGCACCAAAATATGAGAAT